GGAAATGAAAACATAACTAAACTATTTATTATATTGTTCGTCTTGTTTCCAACTCGCCACTTTAATAATCTGCACGAGAAAAAAATGATAATATCCTTGCTATTACGATACAGTCGCGCATATACAAGACAGGAAAGGTAGGAAAGAAGGATAAACTAAAACGAGCGTAAAGTCACAACGGCATTCATCAGGCGTAGAACAACCGGCAAACCGTGGCAATTAACTTCCATCGCGAGGGCTTTTTTATCATGCCACAGTATTATTAGACAAGCGGTCAACCCTCGGTGAAACGCGAGGGTGAAAATGTCGCGGCGCGCAGATGCGGTAATCCAAATTTAGTGCGATATAAATACACAGCAGATTAGAGTGACTTCTCTATTTTTTTATTGTCTCCATGATCCATGACGCGATGTATAACGAGGCAGAAAAAAAGTTACGACCGAAACGAGGCGCATAAATCATCACGTTATATTTCTATTATGATAAACGATTAAGATATAATATACACAAAAAAGATGGATTTTATCGGCACAATTTTTTAAACTTGAAGTTAAAAATTTGCTACACAAATATTTACTACTTGAAAAGTTTTATTTGATTGCAAAATTTAGAGTCTAATGTAATCAAATTATCATCATCAAGATCTAATAAACTCACAATATTTGATAAAATCATCTTTTTAATATTATAAATCCGTTTAACATGTTATAAAAATTAATATAACAAGAATAAATAAAAAAAGAAATTGACAGAAATATTAGGATATATAATATACATATGATTTATCATATCTGCATCAAACCTGAAAAAAAATTATTAAAAAATATTGTCTTTGCTCATTATGATATATTAAATGAATATTGTATAATTACAATATCAAATAAATTTTTCATTAGCGTATACAATAACCGACGCCCTTCGTGGGCGTGAGATATTCGAGCTGCATAATTAAATCTGAAACATGGGGGCTAATTACAATGGCCCTTCGCAAATACGTCGCTCATTACGATTTAGTAATTGTTCCGACGCGTAATAACGCCAGTATCTGTATTGTATTATTGTTCGGTAGGGTGTTATTGCCTGAAACGTGTATAACGTAATTACTCTAACGCAATTAGGAGCATCGCACGTTGGTCTGTTTCTTGTCTCTGGAAACGGGCCGCTCTCTCGACACAGATTAAATTAACGAATATTATGGAATACGCATCAAACCAAAAATCGATATCGCTCTCAACAGCAAATATTGAATTGTACGCTCAATAATAATTGATAAATAATTAAATTAACATGTAGACAACCTTTTAATACCAAAAAAAAATCAGAACTCTGTCAATATCAAAAATTCTAAAAATGAGATGTTAATTTTATGTGAAAATATCTATAGATCTTTTTTTCAGAAAATATTAAAATACAATATATAATTTAAAGCGAAAAATATATATAAAATATAAATATATGATATTTATTCATAAATACACATATATAATATTGTTCTCCTTTACTGCATGAACATTACAAAATGTATTTTTACACTTCCCTGTAAAAATAAAATAGATTAATTAATTATATTCAATATTAAAACAAAAGAGGCACATCTGAAGATTGATCCAAATAGACCCAATTTCTAAAGATCTGAAAATAAGTTACAATTGTTAATATAAACAACATTTCCTATTTATTACACAAGAAATAAAAAGCAAATGATACATTTTAGAAATTCTCAATGTCCATCAAAGCAGGAATGCGTGTACATATAGAAGTTTCAATTTAAGTTCCGAGATCAACACATCATCACAATAAAAACAAAAAATTATAGCAAAATTTAATACATTTTAAAATGTAATTAAAATATATTTTAAGATGTTTGATCTCGCAAATTAAAATTGCAAATTATACAACAGTCACAATCAAATAAGAAAAAGTCTGTAAATGAGGATAAGCAATTTAGCAACGATTTCGATTATAGGTCAAAAGTATATACAATTTTATGTAAGTATAATAAAAACGTTCTTGCATTATGTTCCTATTGCCACAGTCATGTTTCAAGCGTAGGATATTTTACATGCTATAAGGATATATTTTCGGATAAGGTATTAGATGACGATTATTTGAGTATTCTTTTCGGTTTTAAGGTTTCTGGCTAGGATCTCTTCATGCTCAGGCGATTCACAGCTGCCAGACCGCAAGACTGATACGAGAACACCATCGTTTCCGCTACTGCCAAAACGCAGCCCTTCATAAAACGTCGGAAGGCGCACGTGCGCACGGAAAGAAACCGCAAAGTAAAAGTAAAATTGCGTATATTAACTTCTACATGGAGGAAACACATTGATCGATTTCGTATATTTCGTAAATATCTGCAAAGTCGCGTGCTCTGTCCAAGCTATAGAGGCTAAAATAAGAAGAATAATATAACGGATTTTATAATATTTAGATGCCAATTATTTTGCGATAAACAATTAAAATTTATAGAATTTTAGCTAGACATTCAGTTAAATATCATAGACAATGTTATATCAATAAATAAAGAATTATATATCGTCGAGTGTAAAAATTTTACCAAATTTTTACGATTACGTAAATTTCGAACAAACAAGAAGATAAACAACAGTTGGATACAACACGTGGATGCCGCGCGCGCGTTTTCGATCGTCAGTTTATACAGAAGCTTCTTACTAATAGGTAACGAACAACGGAGCCGTTCGCAAGTCAATCCAATTGGACAGACTCAAAAGCGAACAGCGACGGGCAAACACGGGCGATCGGTTATCGAAGCGATTAAACGTATATATCGTGGTGTCCGTCTATCTATCCCGACCGTGCAAATATGCGCGAGCAAACTCGGAAACCGCGCTTCCAACAAGGAAACACCGACTACGTCGACGTGGCCCGCGCAGCGAGCGTTCGTATGCACAACCGGCACCGTCGTGCTCTCGTGGGAAATGCCGTCGATTATATTTGCGTCATGGCAAGCGCCATGGACACGGAAGGTATGCCAGAATTGCCGGACGAATAGGGATGGCGGGTCCGTCATCCTCCTGCCGAACCTGTTGTTTGCACCGGCACTCTAATTAATTATCCGCCGTCTCCGATAATGTAACACTCAGCGCGAAGCGCGTTCCCTCTCTACGTATATCCGAGATTACGACCGTGCCGACTAAAGACAGCAAAAAATTTTATACACGCGACTGTAACTTGTGAAACGAGCGAAAAAAATTTTCGCGATTCTGTAATAACAGAAATTTTTATTTTAGCTAACAATTTTAGAGTTAAATGTATTAATATATTGGCAATTTGCAGAAATTTATTGAAGGATAACATTAATTAGTTTAAAGTATTAATATATAATAATAAATTGTTTATTATCAATGTAAAATCAAATCTTAGTATCGGGTTTTATGTGGAATCAATTTTTCTTTGAATAAAGAATTTAATAAAATTTCTATTTCTTAAAACGTTTAACATTGAGGAAAAATAATAACAGATTTCAAGTATAGAAAGTGTAATTCAGTAGCAAAAGTAGATATTCATGATAATAATTCTGTTTTAAATTCGCAAATTTATTTAATTGCAAAGATAAAAAATTTGCACGTGTAGGCAAATATTAATTCCTATCTCAAAATAATAATTTTTCGATAAAAGTTTATTAATAATTAAATTACTCTCATATCTCTATCGAATAATGTATTATTAAAATAATATTTAATAATGATAAAATCTTATAGCGAACTAAAACTGAATTTATTGCAATTAATACAAGACAGAACCTATTCGGCGTTTTTCGACGTTCTTACAAGCCAACGACGGAACATGTAAAAGGAACGCATGAAAGTTATATATTGACGCTCACCCACCGATAGACAAATATTCGTCGAGCACCACTCAACAACTTGCGGAGCTAATAAAAGGAGTCGCACTGTTCTATTATCAACGATAAGAGTTTGAAGTTTGGTAACCGCTTGTCTGTAAATGGGCACGTGACCATACTATACAAGTCTTTTTTTAATACAATAATACCCAAAATTCATGCAATTTTATGCACATGATAAAGTTCATAGCAAAAATTTGCAAAATTATGCAATAATTATTAAACAATATAAATACAATAATATCATTATTTATCATATCATAGTAATTTTAAATATTATATATGTTTATTAATAGAATATAAAAATTGGAATGTTGTTTTTATTTAGCTAACAATATTTTTACGAATCATTTACTTTTATATGTATCGTATAGTCTATTTCAATCAATCGATTTGTTGTTAACTAAATTGATTTTAAACCTACAATGACTATTGATGTGTTCACACTCGAGTTTACTCGGGTATGACTAAAGAATCATGAAACACGGATGAAGCGTAGGTTTGAAGTACACACTCAGTAACGTAGAAGGCTAATAGAAGAAGTCACGCGGTGCTATTGTTAATGCTGCAGATGGTTAAAACAATTCATCTATACCTATCGCCCTATACTCGTTGTTCATTGCAAGTGCGCGAAGCCACTTAACGCACTTTTGCATGTCAATCAATTTTAGTGTAAATTACCAGCCAGTGTAATTGGTTCATTTTTTGAGAAAAAGAAATTTTACAAAAAATTTTGCATGACATGCAGTATGCATATGAAAGCAAGGTAATTATTTAGAATAGCTGCCTTACCTCCAATTTTAATAAAAATAGACTCATTCGATGCATTTTGGTCTAAAACGAAAGAGTCTGGCAGAAAAAAACGTCGCTCTGCCCTGCGAAGCGAGATATTAATTGTTAAAGTTTATGACTTTTCAGGTTACGAAACCTGAAATTCCGCTAACGCGTAAAATTTCAAACAAAGCGAGGTTCAACATGGGTTTACGAGTTTCTACACAAAGCGAGGTTTAATGCAAATCCAATGTTCAAATTTAGCGCAGAGTAACACTAAGTTATTACTACGCATGCGCGCGTGACCGCAGCGCATGCCCATGTTGCTACACTCAGTCGGAATGACGGGTTTCGTAACCTGAAAAGTCGTGAACTTTAACAATTAATATCTCGCTTCGCAGGGCAGAGCGACGTTTTTTTCTGCCAGACTCTTTCGTTTTAGACCAAAACGCGTCGAATGAGTCTATTTTTATCAAAATCGAAGGTGAGGCAGCTATTCTAAATAATTACCGTCTATTTTTATCAAAATCGAAGGTGAGGCAGCTATTCTAAATAATTACCGTAGATCAGTGATGCAAACTCGAGCCGGCCAGCACCAGGGCTCCGTGGTAGAGGAAGCATGCACACAAGCGAGAATCGCTTACGTCCTCAAAGTAAAAAGAAACAGGAGGGAGCGTTTGGTCTTAAAAGTGCGGACGGAAGTGACTATATAAAGTGGTCGCTCAAGATGGCCGCTCAAGGGCGTCAATATTGAATGACTTGTTATGTTTAATTAGAAAATAATGTACAATTAAAAGAAAATAACTATAATATGCAACAATAATACCAAATTTTAATGGCGTTTTTCATTGGGATTGCAGTATTTCCATAAGAGCAATGTTAAAATCTAAAATCTAAATTTATATTGAATCCTTCGTCCTTACAAAAATTTATCCATGCATTTCTTTGATCCGGATTTTTCGGAAACCTGTTTGTGAGTAAAAATTATTTAGTAATTATTGTGAATCTACAATTTCACAATACTATACATATGATTATAATCTCCAAAATAAAAATCTCATTATTGTTGATAATACTAACCGATAAAACGTTATTCCATGATTTCGAGCTGCTGCTGTTATGCCACAAGCTCTACAGTATACCATTTTGATCGTTTATTTCCATACACTGTTGCATAAAAGACTATACACTGCATATTAATGCGTACGGCGTACGGTATGCCGCTTGCCGCTATGCTCGAGCATTCCCTCTCACTTTCAAAAAGTGGTCGCTCAAGA